GAGATAAATACAGCTGAGCTACCTCTCTATTAGGGTGCTCTGGAGCCAAGCAATTGATGGGGTTGTACGAGGGACATGTCCTGAAGGAAGTGCAGAGCTAAAGCTGGGTATTGCTGGAAACATGAACTACTGCACCTCTGGGTACAGATCTAGCGTGTAACGTGAGTGTGGTAGCTCTGGTGATCCCATCTTACTCCTCTCATGATGGGCAGTTCTCTACAGCCCCAAACCACTGCATGAGCTGAAATGTGCCAGTCTCTGCTCAGGAAGGACTGGGTCAGTCTCTGCTGCAGGTCAGGAGAGAGAGGATGGGCAGAGCTGCGGAGGAACCAGGATGGAAACAGCAAGGGGTCCCTCATGTTAACTTCCATCTCCTGCACATTGAAAGGAGGCAGGATTTCATGTGTGCTAGTGAACAAGAACCCCACGTGAGCGATGGCACATGGATTCCATTCCTGGCTTCCATTATGCTTGTATGCACCAGCTAGCATGGCAAGAAGCAGCAGAGCGCCCACAATGAGCTCAGAGAAAGGCAGTTGGATTAGGATGGTGCTTTGGCGGGGGGAGAGAAGGGTTACCTTAGACTCCGTAGCAGAGGTTCCTCTCTAGCATTCTGCCCACATTCATGCCGCAGCAATATGAACCGTCCTTGGGGTCTGGCAGAGATACTGTGAAAACATAACGAAGATGTACCAAGTCTGGACACTTAACAGAAATGTAAAAATAAAACCCTGCTTTTATAATGGAGAGAAATAAAGTGGAATTTTCAAACAAATCTGCCGGAGTGGTTGGGGGCGGGGTTTGGATATTTTTTAAGGTAAAGATTACATGGTGTTTGCATTCATGCTCAGATCTCTACATTAAACAAACACTCTGCTTGCAGCGTATGTGCTGTTTGTGTGTGCATTTCCACAACGTGTGGAGGTACTGCTTAAAAATACAGGGGAGCTTTCCACCCTCCCCTAACCACCATCTGGGTTGATATGTGCCCTGTGATAAAACTGCCAGGCTAACCTAGCCTGGAGCACCCATCAGGGTAGACACCAGTTGAGCTTCTGCACAATTTGGTTACCTGATGTGGTTTTCACACTCGCTCGGCAAGTGGCTTGCCAAACTTTTTATCTGCCTAGACGCTGCATCTTGAGAGACCCATCTCTTTTCCCAGCCTCCTACCCTCACTTGCTCCTCAAAGGGTTCCATACTGAGCACTGCCAAGCACTCAGGGCCATTCTATAGCAGCAGGTGAGCAGGGCAACTGCCCTGGGTACCAACTTGCAGGGGTTACCCTGCAGCTGTGCTGATTGGCTGGATTTGGTTTTGGGTTTTTTTGGCATGGCGCTTCGATGCGGGAGGGCGGTGGCTGAAAAATGCCTAGGGCCACTTCTGCAAGCAGAGCTTTGTAGACCTTTGCGGGACTTCAGGATATAATTTTAGAACCACTGGTCTATAGGAATAACTTCAACCTGCCCCCCTTCCATCTGTCTCCAGAATTCCCCCCTCCCCCTCCTCTTGCCATTGTTAGGATTCATGTCACTTTTCAAGAAGAAAGGCAGCACCTACT